TTAATTTTTTGTAATTTAAATTTTTTTTATATATAGGTCCCTATTACTGCAGAAAAACAAAAAAATTATTCAGATCATGGTATTACCGTTAATGATAATGACGTTAAAAATAAAGCTATTAGTGCTTGTATTATAGTAAAACCGTTTATCATTCCCACTTTTACATTCAAAATCCCAAAATTAAGAAAAAAAAAATTCAGGCTCCTACTGAAAATACAGACATGCAAACAGTTAAAGTTTTGAGTTTAACTGAATCACAATTCAATTTTCCAAATAAAACTTTGTAAAATGTAACAAACAACTCAAGACCATCTTCAGATTTAATTTCTAGATATTGACATGTCCTAATAATATAATCTTTTACTCAAGTAGCAAAAGACAGAAAAGAAAAAAGCTTTCATCTGTTACATCCGGTCCTTAATTGCAACAAGCCGTTAAAAAACAGACCAAGAAAAGTATTTAGGAGAAAATTGTATTGTTAAAAAAAAAGTTGAAGTTGAAAATGTGGAAAACAAGAAAACAGAGCAAGAAAAGAAAAAGAAAAGAAAACAGGAAGAAAAGTGTTTGAAAAAGTAAATTCAGGATTGAAAAAAAAGGTAATTAGAGAAGCAACAAGAAGTAGTCGTGCAATTCGAAGAAAAATATAAGATTACAAGAACTAATGTATTATAATCTAAAGAAAAAGATTATTTGACCAAACAAATTAGTAATTCACAGAAGCAATCACACTCTGTTACTAATTTATAATTATTAATTTTTGTACTTCAAAGTTGAAGGTTTTACATATAAAATCATGCTATCAGCATTAAAGAGCTTAAAGTCTTTATGAAACATTATTTTATAATTATTAAATATTTCAATAAATGAAATTGATTTTATTTAATATTTTTTTCTTATGTTCCAATCATTTACATGATAGCATACGAATGTAAATAACATCTTCATGATTCAAATATCAAGAGCTCACTAAGAAACGTATAAATATAATTTCAAGATTTATAAATAAATTGTTATTCAGTTTTTCTTGTGTTACAGTCTTAAATTTATGAACATCTAGTTTCACACTTTTTAAAAACTGAGATGACAGTAATTAAATCAGTGACAGTAATTGAGTGTCAGTAATACAAACACTATGGCAGTAATACCAGCAGTTGGCTGATTGAATAAAAGTTAAATTATAATTATACTTTACAATTCTCATTTCTGAAATGATTATTGTATTGTAACTAAGTACAAAAGCTTTTAATTGAACAAAAAATAAAGTTAACATATTTATACATGCGTACGTGATAAGCTTATACGTAAGTCCTAAACAAAAAAGTGCTAGTAATACCTACATTTATCTCTGTTTCAGTGAATCAATGCTGATTAACGCCAATAATTGCTTTTCTTCTTATGGGTACTTACTGTAAACTATTTCACTTTCTTAATTTTTACTTGAGCTTTTCTTTTTTTTTTTTGTACGCAAAGAGATCACTTGGAAAAGAAAAAAGCAAACTCACAAGCTTGTTGCTGAGCATAAGTGTAATTGCTTCTGCAAATTACTAATTTGTTTGGTTGACTAATCTTTTTCTTTAGATTTTAATACATAAGTTCTTGTAATCTTATGTTTTTCCTCGAATTGCACGACTAGTTCGTGTTGCTTGTCTAATTACCTTTTTTTTCAATCCTGATTTAACTTTTTTAAATATTTTTCTTCCTGTTTTGTTTTCTTTTCCTTTTCTTGCTCTGTTTTCTTGTTTTCCACATTTTCAACTTAAACTTTTTTTTTAACAAAACATTTTTCTCCAAAATACTTTTCTTGGTCAGTTTTTTTAACAGCTTGTTGCTACTAAGGACCGGATGCAACAGATAAAAGCTTTTTTCTTTTCTGTCTTTTGCTATTTGAGTAAAAGATAATATTGTTAGGCCATGTAAATACCTAGACATAGGCTTCATAAAAATATCTTTAGTAGGTTTTTTGTTGTCAACATTTGTGACTGTGCATGAGGTTACAGATTCGATAGTGCAAGATTGCACAAAGAATCAGTCAGATGAGGTAAACAAATTCTATACTTTTACCTCTATCCCTAAAAAGCAGAAATTATTAAAAGATAAGGCTGCTGGCTGTTTAAATTACTTTTTCAAAGTCAGATGCAATATGTAACATTTCTGATAGCTAAAAGATTAAAGTTGTTATCAAGACAGTGCGGATAATTTTAGTTATTACCTGACAAATCAAACAAGAGATAGAATCACTCTAGCGATATCTTTGGTCAGAATCAAAACATGAAAATTATTATAGACAAATGATCCAAAGATAGAACAGAATAGTTAGTTTAAATGTTACTAAAAAAAAAAGACAAATTAAAATAAAGACTATTCGTTGTATCCTATATAAGTTAGCATAAGGATTAAGGAAATAAAAGACGTGATATTAAAGCAAATGCAGATCGAATACGCTGCATAATTAATTCAATTGGTTCGTACATGAAATCCAGGAGCATATTAAGGCAAGCAGAGATAACACAAGTAGCACTTACGGTCACGATTGGGATGTTAAGCATAACATTTGTAATAACAGTAATAAAATTAATAACAAATAAAATCATGGTAGAAAAAGTGATAGTACTATTAATATTAAACTCAAAACTATGCTCAATCGGTACGCGGAGAAAAATTAGTTTGATAGTTGCGGTAAAAAATTGTTGAATTCAGTGCAAACTCAGGTACTACTGAATATTTCTTAACATTTAAGATATACTTGAGAGATTTTAAAAATCACAATAGAAAACTTATTAAATGTATGTACAGCAATTTCTTTGTGGACTTAAGAGTGGAGAATTAAAAATGTGTTTCGAGTAGTGACAGGGAAAGAAAGATTATATTATGTGGGGTTATTTGAGCTGAGGGCCTAACTTGCTGTCACTTTGACACTTTGCTGACAGTGGCATAAAAATGTATTTGAATGATGAAAAATTAATTACGTTTAATCGAAAATCAATTGAAACCACCATGTTGGGTATATATAAAAGTCCTTTTTGAATAGCAGAACTTGTACAAAATGGCCAGAATGAAGATATTACAAGGAGTTATAAAGAAATTTTAAGTTATCTAATAACTAATAGCACTTTTATAGAACCAAGATGTACGACAAGGCGAACTGTAGCAAAGATAGAAAAGTGTCAGCAAGCTAGAACTAATGATAAAATAGAAAATTCTGATTTTTTAAACCACGTATCCAAAGATGATTACTTCGAAAATTTACACCCAAATGTGATTGAGTAAAGTTTGAATGATAGAAACATTAACAATAGTACGGATTATTTGCCTGATAATACTATGAAAACCCAAAGCAATCTCAATATCTAAATCTTTTGAGGTATACGCTCATTGTAATGAAGCCCTCACACTCTGCTAGACTGGCATCAGAACAAGCCTTTTTTTTTATCTTCAAGACCTTTATATACCAGATCTAGATTTTTAGTCTGTTGGAAATAACGAAACACCATTTTACCATCTTTGAACCATCGTCTGTTGGACAAATTTAATGTCTACTTAATACGTTCATGAAATATAAAGTATCCTGTCTAATTGTGTTGGCCAAGTATAGTAAGCTGTCTAATGTCTAGCTGTCTAATGTATCCTGTCTAATTGTGTTGGCCAAGTATAGTAAGCTGCTTATTGCTTCTCTGTACGAATCATTTTCTCTCGCTTTTGTTCTATTAATACATTCTCGCAATTCCTCAGTATCTTCTGATTCTTCTCTATCTTTCGATTGTCGATTAAAGTCTGCATAAATTACTACAAGTGTGCTCTATTGTTGACAATTCTGAAATACAAACTTTTTTAAGCATCTAGTCCGTGTAGACTATTCGGGTGTAAAGGTCTTGAAGATAAAAAAAAGGCTTGTTCTGATGCTAGTCTAGCAGAGTGTGAGGGCTTCATTACAATGAGCGTATACCTCAAAAGATTTAGATATTGAGATTGCTTTGGGTTTTCATAGTATTATCAGGCAAATAATCCGTACTATTGTTAATGTTTCTATCATTCAAACTTTACTCAATCACATTTGGGTGTAAATTTTCGAAGTAATCATCTTTGGATACGTGGTTTAAAAAATCAGAATTTTCTATTTTATCATTAGTTCTAGCTTGCTGACACTTTTCTATCTTTGCTACAGTTCGCCTTGTCGTACATCTTGGTTCTATAAAAGTGCTATTAGTTATTAGATAACTTAAAATTTCTTTATAACTCCTTGTAATATCTTCATTCTGGCCATTTTGTACAAGTTCTGCTATTCAAAAAGGACTTTTATATATACCCAACATGGTGGTTTC